AGGAGAGGAAGGCCCTCTATGAGGTGGATTGATTCAGTGACTGGGATAATTGGGATGGGAGTGTCAGAGACAGTGCGATTGGCACAGGACAGCGGAGTTTAGGGCTGTTGTGACTCAACGACACATAACAACTTATTCCTTTGAAACAGTTCTCTCCCTCATCTGTTTCAATGCAGTATACATTATTTATTCCCTCGTTTCTTAGGTTCCCCCCAACCCCAATGTCAGTCCCGTTTTACAACAGTGGCACTCACTATGTAATATTTGTCTTTTCGTGACTGAGTGTCCTTCAGTGTCACCCATTTTGTATAATATTTCATGAGTTCCTTGTTTTTCAATGCAGCATAGTATTTATTCCATTGTGTAAATATACCACAGCTTCTCTATCCATTCATTTGTTGATGGACACTTGGGTTCTTTCCAACTCTTTGCTATCATGAGCAAAGCTGCGATAAGCATGGGTGTGCATATATCTGATTGGGTGGCAGTTATGGTTTCTTTAGGGTATATTTCCAGTAGTGGAATTGCTGGGTCAATGGTATCTCTATTTTCAACTTTTTGAGAAAGCTCCATACAGCCTTCCACAGTGGTTGCGCCATTTTACACTCCCACCAACAGTGAATAAGGGTTCCAGTTTCTCAACAACTTCGCCAGCATTTGCTGTTTGCTGCTTTGTTGAGTTTTGCTATTCTTACTGGGGTATGATGATATCTCATAACTGTTTTTATTATCATTTTTGTGTGTATGTACCGTCAGATCGGATTTGACTGGTAAAAGAGAAGATTGTCCCTCCTTCTACAGCAGAGCATCTAGTGAATTTGAACTGCATGCCCCTGGGATTGCAGTGCAGTTTCTTGCCACTAGGCCACCAGAACTCCCTGGAACTTATTATTTTGATTGATTGATTGATTGATTGATTTTGTTCAGTGCTTTGAACTTATTCTTTTTTTTAAATTTTAATAATTTTAATGAACATTTACAGAGATTTTGGATGTCCATTCATTCATTGTTGCACTT